TGAATGACAATATACAAGATGAAATTTGGTGTTTAAAATTCAATTAAGCTGCTTGTATTGGGAATTTAGTGGAGACGGGTCATTTTGACCCAGAGGACAAAGGGTGTATGCAGAAAATGAGGACAACAGGAGGGTTATTTAGTGTTTTTTTTTTTTTTGGTGGATGCAAACATCTTCCAGGCAGTAATCTATCCCCATATGTCACACTGCTTCATTGTCACTCTGAGATAATTTGAAACACAGCAGTGAGTAACTCTCTTGCGCAGAGTGACAWATCCCCTCATTTAGATGAACACAAGTCCTCTTGTATATTTTGAGTCAATCCCACCTACACCATTCTGCTGCTAGAAATACTCAGCAGACTAATAAATTTGTGTCTGAAAAACACTTCCAAATAAACATTTTTTTTTCCTGTATGGCTAACCTTTTCTTAATAATCCTTGAAAAGTTTTCGATATGTTTTGGCTCAAGCTCAGGACATTCAAATCTTGGCTCTTGTGCTTTATTCTGTCCTTTTTATTTCATCAGACACATATAAAGTAGGTGTTTGCAGTGTTTTATAGCCATTTGTTGAGAGTCATTAAGTTATAATGCAACACTATGCAAAAAACAATACTTAGTAGTAATGTTTCACAAATAAAATAAATCCTTAAAAAGAGGTTAAGGGAATGACAGGTCCACACATTTGTAAACTACAATCAATCAAACACACACTTATTTATACTCAAAATTGCTGCACTGCACTAATGGATGCCAAGCAAGATGGGAACCTTTATCTCCATTTGCTGTTTTTCTCCATAATTTATTCAGCATAGTTTTTCCTCTGTGACTGTCTGTCTGTGTATCCAGGTTATGTGTTTGTGTGTGTGTGAGAGAGAGATAATGTGTGTGTGTGTTTGTGAGGTTTTATGGATTTGACTGTCGCCTTGTCCCTGAGGAATGAGCTCTTCTGAAATATGGTAGCTTACGGTACACTCTCACTTCTTTGATGGAAATTTTTAAAAGCAGCATAATATCAGCATCTGTAAGGGAAGTCATTGAAAACTGAATGTAAAAGATGACTCAGAGATTAATCAGAGAAAGAAAGGAACTTTGAATCTGATGTACAATACTGTAGAAAGTCAAGAGTTGTACAGATGCACTGTGATTTTTTTTCTCAAACTGTTCGTTATGTATACCGTTGAATGTCATGTAGCCAGTAAGAACATTGACCTACAGTAAAAATGTAGAACACAGTGTTTATAATTTCCCTCTTGCATTTGCAGGACCAGCATATTGGATTGGAAGTTACCATGAGATTAACCAGAACTCACTGGAACTGTGATTGAACTGGCAGGTAAGGAGTACAGACCTACGAATTAACCTTTATTTAACCAGTTTTTCTATTCTCCTTGAGATTTATTTTGGTGGTTGGAGGGTGATATTTAGATTTTTTTTAAATGAAGGGTTTATGTTGGCAAAAGTTATATAGAGGGTTGTTAAACAAACAGCATTGTATCCTGTGTGTTCATATTGAGTTTGTATTCATAAATATGTACTACACATTCTCACTCCCAACTCGTCACATATTGACGTTTAAGGTAAGGTTCCCTCTGCGTCTTATTTGGACGCAGAAGGTACCCCCCTCGCGTCACTCCTTGACGCGCACGGCTTTTCTGGGTTGCGCCACCAGGGGGCTTTGGGGCGGGTGTCTGAGGTTAACATGAGGGATCGGGTTTAATGGTTAAGTTTAGGTACTGGGATCAGGGGTAGGATGTCCATGGTGAATATTAGGTCATTTTACGCTTTAGAACTTGTTCACCTGAATTTCGTACATTTTCTAAAAATGGTTAATTTTACCTACTAGGGTCAGGGACAGGGTGTCTAAAGTGAACTAAAGTAATTTCAGGCTTTGGAACGGTCGTTTTTGCGCATTTTATACACTTTCTGAAAATATGACAACAGCTTCCGCCCCKTCTCGTCAGTAACTGACGTGAGGGGGGTACCCCGCGCGTCAATATCGGACGTAGAGGGAACCTTGGAAAACGTCAATATGTGACGAGTTGGGAGTGAGAATGGGTTGATATGTAGCCATGTCTCTAATGTCAATAGTGTCATACAAGCATGTATGGGCTGGGCACGGATGTGCATGGCACTTCAATAAAAATGTAATTTATTCATTCATTTAATCTAATAAAATGAGCAAGAAAATGAAGCTTGGTGATCAAGTTTGTGCAAACTGGCATAGCTTTGTCATTTCATGCTTTCTAGTAAAATATATTCTGCAGTTTTCCAGGACATTATCAAGACATTTCAATTTAAATGCTCTTCAGAAATGAMGAAGAACATTTCCTGGTAAACTTAATTATTCTTATCATCACACAAATCCACTGCTGCTGGTCCAACTCCTAAACTGTTGGATTCAGCACACTCAATAGGTGACTAATTCATGTTTTCCTGCCTTCTGCACTGCGTGTGCTGGGATTACTGTCTTCATACTGTGATCATGGAAGAGATTTTCTGAGAAAATTGTAAGAGGAGCTGAATTAATCAACAAGAAAACAACCTAATTTACCTTAAATTATTATTATATTTTTCTCTGTGTAGAATCTAGTCACTGAATAGGCCTTACTAAGATGGTATTTACTCTACTATGGCAACAAAGGCTACATCAAACAGCAGCACAGTTTTTTTTTTTCAGTAAAAGAGAAGACAGACCAATRATATTAGCTTTGGAAATATTACTGTAACTTCATGAGTAAAACACTGCATTTCCATTTCAGAAAAAAAAGAGAAACATTACTTTCTTTGTGGATACCTATTCATTTTATTTTTATTAGTTTAATCCAAAAAAAAAATAAACTGAATAATATGTAGAACTGTTTAGAGCACTCTTGAATTTATTTGACAGGATGTTTGGGGTATTAATAATCTGTGAATTTTAGGGTTATTATAATAGACCATGCTGTGCTGACTTCACTTTATTRGGCTGTTTTACGATCATCCTGAGCTATCTTTGAACTTAATGACTCCCAGACGATAGCTAACCATGCTATTACATATCCATTACCATGATTACCAGGTTACAATTGTTTTTGTGGGTCAGGAGTTTTCTATCTAAAGAAGCAACAAATATTTGTATCATAAAGTTGGTGTAGACTTTTTTATTGTATTTTTTTTTGTAAATTAATTATATATAAAATTATGTGAAGGACTGGAAATGATTTTAAAACATTTTAAAGCAAAAATGTCTAGTACTTTTCYAAATAGTATAGCTCTTTATTACATTACAAATTTGTCAGTGTTTTACACTTGAAGATTCAGAGTTAGATCTTAGTGTTTCTTCAGATTTGGTTGAATCAACAAATTTAGACATAGTATGTAATATTTGCTTCAATTCTTTCATTAATGAAACTGATCTTCATAAATATAATGGTTTGAGCAAGCAGGTTCCACATTAAAGTGGCTAAAAGAAATGTGGACATTATTTCTGCAGCTTATAAGGTAAAAAAGAAAGAGGTAAGCTGAGCAAAACAAGTATCTATTGATATATTTCAGGGATGTCAAATCATTTTCACTGAGGGTCGCTTAAGCACGGGTGGCACTCAAAGGGCCAGTTGTAAATAACTTCAYTGTTTTATYTTTATCTATGACTAAACATGAAATGTAACATACCTTGTCTCMTTGCTACAGCTGAGAACTGGTAACAAAAAATAACTGAGCTCTATGTGGTATTTCATGCTGAAACAGCATTATAACATGTTATCTAATAAWCATTGTAAATTACTCCATATATGATTGACTAAATGTGAAATAAGTAACAAAAAKTGTCAGTGWAAGTAAAAGAAAGAGTTTTACTCACTGTTGTTGAGTTGTAGTTATGGAGCTGCCGTCTTGAAATCTGAACTCTCCCACTTTCTTATAAGGATTTCCCAATAAAGGCGTATTTCAGTTTAAWTTTGCGACAATTACAAAATGAGCTGCAGCAAARGTAGCATGAAAAATGCAGCAAAWTTGAGATTTTACAAATTGAATTTTGCCAGCTACTAATGAACCCTACACCTCCACAAAGTGCTGGGATGCTGTCTTTTTCCAGGTAAAATAATTAACATGCATTATGGGAGGTGTTGTTTGTGGTTAAAGCTGTCTTTTACATTTATTTTAAAGACATTATTACATATTTAAATTAAGATTGTAGAGTTTGTCAGGATTTCTCTTTGGCAAGTGATTGTCCTCTTTTGATTAATTTTGATGATTTTTTTTTACTGAAAAATCATGCTTTGTCTTTTTTTCCAGTTTTACCATGTTTTTTGTAAAACCGTTTCTGGTTTTGTTTTTTTCAATTGAGACTAAGTCTATTGCTGTGAAAAAGAATCCCAAAGTAGTAAACTAACAATAAAGCAATACCTTTAGTACTCTGATAAAAGCCCTCCAAAAAACATTACATGTATACATGTCTGTTCATGACCTATGTAATGATTCTAATCATTGAGGTGCTAGGAAGGCCATTAAATTCTTGCAGACACAGCAGATTGGTTACTTTTATTAACAATATATA